GCGTCCTCTCGCGCGTTCTGTCCACAAGGCTTGCCAGCGCCGATGGGCGCGAGAATGGGGGAGGAGGGGTGGGAGGGGGGTGACTAGAAAGAGAGAGGGAGAGAGACAAAGAGAGAGAGAGAGAGAGAGAGAGAGAATGGAGACAGAGAGAGAGAGAGAGAGAGAGAACAGATAGAGAGAGAGAGAGAGAGAGAGAGAGAGAGAGATGTGCACCATCCACCACTGCCAGAGATATTACCTTCGCAGCGTCCTCCGATCTTCTGGCATATTCGCACAACCTCCAAGCACGGCCTCAGCAAACACTGTCGGGGCAAATCCAGGCCGCCTCGAGGCAAGGACTTGAGCCAACCTCGAGCCAATAGAGAGCGATAGAGAGAGCGAGCGAGAGAGAGAGAGAGAGAGACCACAACAAATCACACAGATATATGGAGAGATATACACAGAGAGTCAAGTATGGAGAGAGAGAGAGAGAGAGAGAGAGAGAGAGAAAGAGAGAGAGAGAGAGAGAAACACACATAAAGACAGACAGAGAGAACGATATAGAAACAACAGAAAACACAACCAGCCTGACGAAGGGCCCAGCCGCATGCAGCTCATGGGGCCACGATCCTCGTAGAAATTCAGCCGCATTGGCCCGAGTCCGCCACGCGGGCCCCTGCCGCTGAAGCATTCGGTGGAGCTCCCTATGGGGCCATGATCCTCGTGATGGGTGCGCCGAACTAGCCCGAATCCGCCATGCAGACCCTGCCACTTGGGCCTTCGGCGAAGCTCCCTGTTGGGCCACGGTGCTCGGTCATCTTGTCGTCTTCGTCGGCGGCGGCGTCGGCGCCGACGTCGGCGTCGGCGGCGTCGGCGTCGACGTCGGCGCCCGTCGTCGTCGATGCCCTATCTCCGCCGTTCAAGATCCGCGCAACAAAGGTTGTGGAACCGCTCCCGCCCAACTGTGGAACCCCGCCCTGGAACGTCAAGAGTTAGAGCCGATCTGGAGGCCAATGCGGCCCCCCAATGGCCCCAACATAACCCAGGATGGCCCCGAGATGGCCCGAGGTGGCCCCGAGCTGGCTCAAGATTGCGCCGATATGGCCCAAACTGCCCCTAGCTAGCCCCAAGGTGGTTCCTTGGGGGGAGATTGGAGGTGCAAAAACGGCTCTTACTCTTGACTGTGGATCGCCCCCGTTTCTACACCATTCTGAAAACTCAAGGGCACGATCATATTTTGAAACCAATGGGCCCCGAGGTGGCCCCAACATGGCCCAAGATGGCCCTGAGACGACATCCAAGATGGCCCCAGCTGGCCCGAGGTGGCCCCGAGATGGCTCCTTCGGGGAAGCTTGGAAGTACACAGCGGCTTTTGACCATGACTTTGGACAACCCTTGATTTTACAACATTCTGAAAAGTCAAGAGTTTCAGCCGAATTGGAAGCCAAGGTAGCCCCAAGATGGCCCCAACATGGCTCAATATGGCCCCAAGATGGCCCAATATAGTACAAGATGGCCCCGAGATGGCCCGAGCTGGCCCTAGCTGGCCCCAAGATGGCCCCTTCGGGGCAGATTGGAGGTGCAAAAACGGCTCTTACTCTTGCCTTTGGAACCCCCCTGACTTGACGCCATTGAAGACTCAACAGCACGAGCGGAATCGGAGACCAACGGGCCCCAAGATGGCCCCAACACGGCCCAATATGGCCCTGAGACGGCCTCCAAGATGGCACCGAGATGGCCCCATGATGGCCCCGAGATGGCCCGAGCTGGCCGAAGGTAGCCCCGAGGTGGCTCCTTCGGGGAAGCTTGGAAGTGCACAGCGGCTCTTATTCTTGATTTTGGATAGCCCATGATTTCACACCATTCTCAAAAGTCAAGAGTAAGAGCCGAATTGAAAGCCGAGGTAGCCCCAAGATGGCCCCAACGTGGCCCAAGATGGCCCCAAGATGGCCCAATATAGCCCTGAACTGGCCCTAAGGTAACCCCGAGCCCACTGGATGAGTCTCAGCCCGAGGACAGGAGAGCTGCCATGTCCGCGGCGGCCGATGGCCCCCTGGCGAAAGCTCTGAAGGTTGGCGCCGCTGCACCCGCGGGCAGCCCTGGCGCAGCCTCGAAGGCGCCCGCTGGGTCTCTGGAGACGGTGCTGAGCCCGCACGGGAAGCAGCAGGCGGCGAAGATGGCGAAGTTGCCGAAGGCGCCGCCTCTGAAGGCAACGGCAAAGGCAGTTCCCAAGGCTGCGAATGCGCCGCCGACGCCCGCGGCCGCGGCCGCCGCCCCCGCCCCGGCGACCGCCCAGCCCGAGCCAGCAGCTGGGGCGGCAGCGCCAGGCAGCCCAGGCGAGCCCCTTCCCCAGTTGGCGGCAGCACCCGCGGCGGCAGCCAAGGGCCAGGCGGCCTTGGCCCCGGCGGCGGAGGACCAGGCGGCCCCGGCGGCTGAGGTTGAGGGCGCAGCTGCAGGCTCACTTGAGGATGTCATAATGCAGCCCGCGGATGGAGCGCCGATCACTCCCGCTGCGGCTGCTGTCGAGGCGGAGGAGGTGACTGGGACGGCGACGCCGCTGGGGCCCGCAGCGCAGTCGCCATGTGCCAGCATCCTCGGGAACGCAGCACTTGGGAGTGGGCCTTGTACGCCTTTGTCTTCGTCTTTCAGCGACGGTGCTGCGGGATGAAGGGTGCCATCCTGGCGCCCTCGAGGGATACTCCTGAACGCTTCGCGCATCTCTGCCAGCCCACCCAGGGAACATGCAAAGGCGAGTTGCCTTGGCCACGAAAGTGCAGATCTGGCGCTCTGGAGGCTCCTTGGGGCCATCGTGGGGCCCCAGGAGGGGGTCAAGAGGGCCCCGGCGGAACGTGTCACTGGGGGACTTCTCGGCGTCCCATAGGGGCCCAACCCAACTCTATGCGTAGAATTGGGTTTGGGCCCTCTTGGACCCCTCTGGTGGCCCTCTTGGAGCCCTCTTGGGACTCTCCTGGGGCCCTCTTGGAGTGGGGGCACTCTTGGAGCCCCACAAAAGGCTCCAAGAGAGCCCCAAGAGGGCCCCAAGAGGACCCCAACTGAACCCCAGAGTGGTATATAATTCAAGGCCTCGGTTATATACGGGTTTGGGGTCCGATTGGGGTCATATTGGAGCCGTCTTGGGGCCCTCTTGGGCCCTTTTCCAAGGCCCTCACAGGCCTTGGGGAGCTCCAATTGCACCCCAGAACAGTATATAAGCGGGGCCTCGAGTTATATACCACTCTGGGGTCCAGTCGGGGTCCTCTTGGGGCCCTCTTGGATCCCTCTTGGGGCCCTCTTGGGAGCCCTCTGGGGGCCCTCTTGGAGCCCCAAGAGAAACGCCAGGACAAGGTAGGGGGTCCCGAGTGGCTTCAAGAGGGGGCCACGAGGGCCCCATGAGGGCCCCGACAAGGCCCAATGACGCATGTACGTGGGAGCCCCTCTGGCAAGCCCAAGAAGCATATCAAGTGCATGCGGTTTGGGGCCCTCTTGGGCCCCTCTCGGGGCCCTCTTGAAACCCTCTGGGAACCCTCTTGGGGATCTCTTGGCGTCCACTGGGGGCCCCCGAAAAGCGTCCGAGGGACATCCGAGGAGACTCCGAGTCATTCAAGGAGTTTCAGGCTCTTCTGTGCGGCGGGGCCCTGCAGCCCTACAGCCTCGGATCATGTAGGGCGCGGCGGGGCCCTGCAGGACCTTGTCTGCCGTTTTCACATGTGGGATGTTCTGCCCATGGGCCCTCGAAGAAAGGCTTCTAGGGCTTGGGCCCCATGTCTCGAAGAAAGGCCCCCAGGGCTTGGGCCCCATCTGGGGTCCTTTTTTTTCAGGCCCCGCCCAGGTGCCAGCGCCATGATCGCGGGCGGCCCTGAGATGTCGCCGCGCCAGTGCCAGGAGTTCAACTGCAGCAAGTGCAAGCAGGACCTGAGCGTGATGATGCTGGCCCCCAAGTGCAAGAAACCCGGCAACAAGTCTTCGAAAGTGTGCTCAGTTTGCGTGGCGTGCTACGGCAAGCTGCAGCGGCGCTGGGCGAAGAACAGCAGGTTGAAGACTTGGTGGGAGGCCAAGACGGAGGATGAGCAGACCCAGTGGTATTTGGAGTGCTTCGAGAACAATTCAGGCAATGAGAGCGGCGGGGAGCTCAAGATCGAGCTGGAGGTCGTGGAGAAGGACGAGGAGAACCAGCGAAAGCAGTATATGTGGAAGCCGTGGAAGCAGTACAAGAAGGACCTCTTCATGGAGGGGTTCACCGAGGAGAAAGATCAGCTGATTGAGTGGAGGAAGAGGTTGCAAGACAAGGATTACAAGAAGTGGTATACCGCGAACGAGTGGCACATCGGGGAGTACCTCGGCATCTTGGATGAGGGCGTGAAGTCCAAGGCCGTCGTCAGCCGCCAACGCAAGAAGTCGAGTGGCTTCGACGGCGTGGACGACGCAGCAGCCAAGCTGGAGCAGCAGCAGGAGGACTACAATCGCATTGCCAGCGGCCTGAAGGCTGCGTGGCCAGGACATCAACACCACAAGCCCGAGAGCGGGCCTGCCGCGAACATCCCAGAGGAATGGGTCCAGGGTGCAGTGGGCGCAGATGGTGACTTGCAGGAGCGCGACTCGCTGCCCAACCTGCTCAGTGATACCGTCACTGAGATGGCCGAGCAGCGCGAGATCGAGGTGACGAGAGAGCTGCAGGAGGAGATGCAGGCCCAGGCTTTCCCTGAGAAGAAGAAGGAAGTGGACATCAGGGCCGCGAAGATGGACATGCAGAACGCGACGGAGAAAAGCAAGGCCAAGTTGAAGAGCATGGTCGAAACGTTGGATCTGGAGGCCAAGGGGACCATCGCCACGATCAAGGAGCGCTTGTTCCCGAAAGGTGCTGCCGTCGATGAGCTGTTTCTCGGGCTCCTCGCGGAGTGGGACAGCGCCTGGGGCGAGGTGAAGACCGAGTTGGAGGCCTACAGCGGCGAGCACGACGCGATCCTCAGTGCCGCGAACGACGCCCAGCCCGGCTTCAATTTCCAGGCGGAGAAGGCGAAGGTGAAGGCGATGAGCGGGACATTCAGCCGAGCGGGCGGCCCGTTCAAGAAGGCCAAGAAGGCATGTTCGGCATTGCAAGCAGCCCTCAGCAAGCGCCTCACTACCAGCACAGGCGGCGGAGGAGGCTCGAGCAAGAAGATGAAGTTGGCCATGGACAAAGATTGCGTTGCGCCTCCTACCCAGTTGGACGAGTCCCACCTCAGCGCAGCCATGGCGGTCTGGTGCAACGTGAAGGGCGCCCCCGTCAACATGAACAACACCCTGAGCTTGGCCGCGCCTGGGGCGCCCGTCCTCCACGCGGCTTCGGAGGTCCTCTCGTTGCTGCAGGCCGAGAAGTCCTACGGCGAGTGCCGCAAGTTCGTCGAGAACACCGCGAAGGAGATGGCTGGCAAGCAGTACTGGACCGTCAAGGAGTGGCTCACCTCCTCACCGCTCCATTTCAATCCTTCCTCCTCCCCCTCCTGTTCCTCCTCTCCTCATTCATTCCCTCCTCCTCTCTCTCCTTTTTCTTCTTCTTCTTCCTCCTCCTCCTCCTCCTCCTCCTCCTCATCCTCAAACCCTCCCTTCTTCCTGCTTTGAATGGCCGCATCTTCCTCCTCCCTCGCTCTCCTCTCACGCCCCCCCCTCCCCCCGTATCCCCGTTCCCTCGAGCGGAGGTCGCGAGTGCGGAGTCTGGCGGAACCTGGGGCCTCCCTGGAGCCTGGGGCCTGGCGCTGATCCTGGGGCCTCTGACCGAGCGGTCTTTGACGAAAGGGCCAGTCTCTTCATGCCCCCATCCTTCTCTCCTGCTTCCTGCTTCGTTCTCGGGTGAGCTGTTCGGGCCCCCCATCCCCCCCCCATCCCCCGCGCCCTCGGGCGACCCCGGCGGCGGCGGCGCCTCGGCGTCCACGAGCGCCCGCGCGGCATGGGCCCCGGCCGCCCAGGGTCGGGGGGGCGAGGGCGAGGAGGGGGGGGAAGGGCAGGGAGAGGGGGCCCGAGGGCCTCGGGGGAGGTGGGAGGCGAGTCGTTTCCTCCTCCTCCTCCTCCTCCTCCTCCTCCTCCTCCTCCTCCCCCTCCTCCTCCCGCCTCCCAGTCATCCTCCTGTTCCTCCTCTTTGTCCTCCTACTTCTCCTGTTTCGTCCTCTTCCCCCTCCTCTCCCATCCTACTTCTCCCCATGCCCTCTCTCCGCACCCCCTTTTCCACGTCCACATCTTCCCTTTTTTGCCTTGCCGCCTGCGCCGAAAAGGTGCCGCAGGCGCACGTGTGCTTGAAGTTGGATTTCCTCGTGAGCGGGCTGCGAGGGAATTTCGACTTGAGTGGCCAGCCTCCTGTTGGCACCCCGCGCAAGCACAGAGACCTGATTCGCAAGGATGTCCTTGGCGCGCAGGTCTTCCACGCGGGAGAAAAACATTTGTATTTTGGTGCTGCGCCGTTTGGAGCTCCAGAGCTTCGTCTGATCGAACAGGGGCAAGAGCTGGTGCTAGGGGTTCGCTTCCCAGAAAATGCGAGCTACGCCCACGTCACTGCGCAGATTCGCGCGATGAGCGGTGCAGAGCTCTTGACCTTGGCCAAGGAGCCAGCTAATTTCGCATGCGTTGCCCAGGCAGGAGATATCCTGTTCCTGCCTGCTGGTTTTCTGATTTTGTCGTTTAGGCCATCCGCCGTGGTGGGCTTCAGGTGGGGCTGTTTGCCGCCGTGGGCGGGCGACGCGAGTCGGTCGCTGAAGGTCGTCAGCGCCCTGATGGACTGCTTCCCCGCACTGTCAGACACCAAGCTCAAGCCTTGGCGCGAGTGCTTGGTCGAGGTCACCAGCAATTCGGACTCCAAGGCAGCCTCGTCGTCCGACGGGGGACAGGCCAAATGGGGTGCATGAGCACACGCGGTCTGCGGGGGCAGCAAGACCTCGGCCCCGGCAGCCCACTGGCGGCGCGAGTAGCAACGGGGGGGGGACGATGAAGAAGAGAGCGAGGACGAGGATAACGAGGGGAGGAGAAGGAGGAGGAGGAGGAGGAGAAAACATAAGGAGGTCGCACGACGGATGTGGCCAGCTAGTAATGTAATTGCGAGGGTCGCAGAGCCGCCGCGGGATCACGGCCTTCGCCTCGCAGACGCGGAGGCACGGCCCGCGCGCCGAAGGCGTTCCCCGCCCGCGCCTTTTTGACACCCTCCCTGTCTCCCCTCCTCATCTTCCCCCTCCCGTCTCTCTTCCCGCTTCGGGCCCCAGCCCCTATCGCCTCTCTCTCTCGTTCCTCCTCCATCCCCTTTGCACCCTTTACCCTCTCCATCCCGCCTCGTGTCTTCTTTCCGCGTGGCTCGCGGCGATAGGCTATCTAAGTACTGTTCGATGCTGCGTCGGCAAGGGGTTGCCGCCTGCCCATGCGTGTTCTTGCTCTCGCCCTGCGTCGTCGGCACCCATCATTTCCCAGCTCGGGGCCTTGGCAGGCGCCAGAATCGTCGAGTCACAGTGTCGAACCAGACGAAGAACAGAACCAAAACACGAACATTAATGGTGGCTCGTTCGGCTGGAAACGGGTTTTTTTTTGATAGCCCGCGCGTGCGTTGGGCAGGCCTCGGAGTGTCGCATTGTGACGGCATCCGCTTGGATGCGGAATGCGTGGCCATGGCGCTCGCGCGGCAGCGTTCTGAAGGTCGATCATGAGACCCAGCCCTGCCTCGCATCAAATGCAAAACGTGCGGGGGCAAGTGGAACAGGAGGAGGAGGAAGAGGATGAGGGCGAGGAGGAGGAGAGAAGAAATAAGCAGGAGGAGGAGGCGGAGGAGGAGAGGAGGAGACTGGCGACGACGACGTCGGCGATGACGACCGTCGCCCTCGCGCCGCTGTCGCCCCTGCTGCCGCCGCCGCTCCGCCGCTGCCGTTGTCGTCGCAGGGGCCCTCCCTCTCACCTGCACCTTTCTTATCTCCATTAACCGATAATTTTTATGGCTGGTTGGTTGTGTTGGTTGGCTGTCTGGCAGCCTGGGTGGCTGGTTAGCTGTTTAGTTGCGTCGCTGGTTGTTTGGATGGTTGCTTGTCTGGGATTGTTGGTTGAACAATTCGTTTGGTGGCTGGTTGTGTGGTTGGTTAGGTTGGTCGAGTGGGTTCACTGTTTGATTGGAAGCTGTTCGGTTTAATGCTTAGCTGGTTGGCAGTGGGTGGTTTGTTCATTGCTGGATTTGCTGGATGGGTGGTTGTTTCACTTGGTTGGTTGATTGACTGGCTGCGCAGTTTTGTTTTTTTGGGCGCGGTTGGCAGCGCGGCAGCGCTTCGCTGGATGGCGAGCCCGTTGGCCGTTCTTTAGTTCGCGCCCCGCGGCTCTGAAACCCCGGCCGCTGCCGTCGCTTGTTATTGTGCTGCGTCTTCGGCCCAGCCCTGCTGGTTGCGACTCGTAACCCGTCCTCGACGCTGTGTTTTCGCCCGCGTTGCGCGGGTGTTTCCCGCGAGAGTGCGATTCCATTGTCAGTGCGGTTGGTTTGTTTGGTTGCCTGGGCGGCGGATTGGTTGGCGGGCCAGTTCGTCGTTTTTGTCCCGCGTGCGGCTGCAATGCGCGAGCGTTTCCATCCCGACTTGCGCGCGCAACCTTTTCTGGTGGCAGATCGATGCTAGAGGCGCGTTGCCGCCATATGGGTCTTCGTGGCCAAAGTGCGTTTCGTCATTCGCCCCGCGCCGCGCGCCCCGTGGGATTGAATGGTTGCGCCTGGCGATCTGCGACCAGCGAACTGCTTCGCCCGAATGGGCCTGCGCGTTCGATTGCACTTTTCGGCGGCTTTGGGGCAGCGATTCCTTGGCGCCCAGCGAGATTTCTGCATTCCTACCTGCAAAATATATAGCGTCAGCGCTGGAATTTGCGACCGACGCTGCCCAGCAAAATTGACCTTCGTAAAAATGCACATGCGCCCGGGATCCCCTGCAAAGCCGGGCATGATAGTGGTGGCGGACGCATGCTGGCGGTGCCACTGGGGCTCTCGGTGGAGCTCCCCATGGGACCACGAAGCGCTGTACTGGGTGGGCGATACGCAGGGAACAAGGGCTGTGCTGGGCGGTGGCGGACGCATGCGGGCGGTGCCAATGGCACCTTCGGTGGAGCCCCCTATGGGGCCACGAAGCGCTGTACTGGGTGGGTGCAACGCAGGAAGCAAGGGCTGTGCTGGGTGGTGGCGGACGCATGCGGGCGGTGCCACTGAGACCTTCGGCGGAGCTCCCATGGGGCCACGAAGCGCTGCACTGGGTGGGTGAAACGCAGGGAGCAAGGGCTGCGTTTGGTGGTGGCGGACGCATGCGGGCAGCGCCACTGGGGGGTTCGGTGGATCTCCCTATAGGGCCACGAAACGCTGCACTGGGTTGGTGAAACGCATGGGAGAGGGAGGAGGGAGGAGGACGGGGAAGAGGAGGAAAGGAACGCAGGGACCGTCTTGGCAAAACGAGTACCCAACACCACAGGATGGTTGGGAACAATTACCATGCATCCGCCTGCATGGGGGGCGTGCCCGACCAAACATTAGGGCGTTCCGAATGCGGCGTTTCGTTCGAGTGATCGAAGGCCCGATGTCTCCGCGGCCGCCTTGCTCGTTGGCCAGCGCGAATGCGCGCGCCGTGCGATCATATCATGGCGCCAACATCGCAGGGCGGATTTTGTTCGGGAAGCGATGGGATGGACCCGGATTGCCCCGGAGAATTTCGCCCCGGACTTTGAGGCGAATTGCGCGCGGTTTATATTGAGCCAGGAACGAAGACAAAAAAAACATCCACGCGAGGTTCGTTTTTTCACTTGCCATTCCGGGGTTTGCATTGACAGAAATTCGCGCAGAAATTCGCAGCATCACGCCGGCAAGGCCGGTGCAATGACCCATGGCCGCGCGGGAGGTCTCTGTTGGAAGCGCAGGGAACCTCGCGGCGCCCACTTGGGTCATCTCCGTTCCCTCTCGAGCTGCTCTGGGTTTCTGGCGGGGCCCCATTGGCGCGCCCGACATCTTCGGCGCCTGTCGCAGATCCGGAGCTTGTGGGCATTGTGCCAAAGCCGCTTGGCTCTCCCAGTGGTCATCTGCACATTGGAAGCCTCCTGGGGCCTCTTTGGCGCCGCGTGGGTTTTTTTCTGTGGCTGTGGGCTGCCTCTCGAGGCGCGGCTGGGCCATCTGGGTGGCCTCGGCGGCCTTTCGGGCCGTCTTGCACGCCGCCAGAGGGGGGCCGGGGGAGGCGCCGCGGCCTCGGGCAGTGGGTGGGGCGCGACGCGCGCACCTGAGCCCGACGTGGGGGGGGGGCGCAGGCTTGGAGAAACCGCGCGGGGAACTCAAGAAGGATCAGGCCCCGCGCATGCGCCGAGCAAACACCTCTATCCTATTTCTCACTGATAGATTCAATCTCGTCCTGGTACTTCAAAGTTTTTGATTGCCGAGTGCTTGCGTCTCTTGCCGCGTGCTTCCACTTTTTGAATGTCGCGAAGATGCGGGCGGAAAAGCGCCGCGCGGGGGCCCCAGCCAAAGGCGCGCCCAAGCAGATCCATGCCATGGCCGCCCCGCCGATTGAAGGACATCAGCGCCGAGCGGAACCTCGCCTGCGAAGTCCAGCCCGGGAGATGGGGACCTGGCGCAGCCGTTGCCGAATGGCCTGGACTTGCACCGCATCGCTTGGCACACTCTGGAGGGCCGGCTGGAGGCGCGGAAGACGATGACCTTGTCGACGGCGACGATGAAGACGAACCAGCAACCAGGATGACCACCCACAAAATGTTCAAACTGCACCTCGGCCCTACGATGCAAGCGGCACGAAGCGTCGGGCCAGAAGCAAAATGACTACACACAAACGTAACAGCTGACATAGAGGATATGACCATCCGGATTACAAGCAGGGAGAATTCGACGGCCGAGTGGACGGATGACCTCGAGGCAGAGATGGCCACTGAATTTACGCCTTGTTCCCGTTCAGCATCAGGTGCGTCTCTTACGACTGAGATAGAGATCGCGATGCGAGACCGTCAATGTCAAATTGCACAGACATCCAAAACGAATCAACCATTGGAGCATCTATCACGAGCAAGGGGAATTCGCGGTCGCGGCAGATGCTGGCAATCGTACCGACTTCGATTCCGAGGCGTCCGCGCCCGCGCGCGCCCGGGAACAACTGCCGCGCGTGAGCGACCCAATCGCGACGCGCATATAGTCGAAATGTGAATTCGGAAACGTTTTATTTTTCGAATGTGGGGATGCGCGACGTGCGCGTTTACAACGTTGTTTTCCCGGCGCGCGTTTACAACGATGTGTCACCGCAGTATGGGCGTGCCAAGACTGGGTGCTTTCCGGAAGAGCTGGCCGCAATTTTGCGTCTGGGCTGAAACATCTTCTGCAGGACAACGCAGAGCGAGTGCATGATTTAAGCATCTTACAGTACGCCCCGCCAAGTGCATCTCGGAAGGGCGATTTGCGCCTGCCGCGCATGCGAGCCCTGGCGGCGTCCATCGGCAGCGGGCAGAGGGGCCGCAGAATTGGCGCGAAGTGCAAGCCGACCACAAACTTACAACATGGATGTAAGCACGCCGTGCAAAGGCACGGAAGAATGAGGCAAAAGTGACCGCATGAAAGTAGACGCGCAAGAGCAATCCAGAGGAACGAAATCAAGCAGAAGACGCATGCGGAATCTGATTGGGTTGGCTGGGGGACCGACTCCGCAGCGTCGCAAGCCATTGACTAGACGATTGGCGATATTCCATGTTTCCGTTGGTTGAAACCTGGGCATGCGGAGTTATGTGTGGATGGGGATATATACGCCAACTCTCCCCGTCTTCGCCTGGACATGGGCGGCGCTACCATTTCCAGGAACATCTTAGACGACGTCGCCATCGCACGCAGATGTGCACCCCCAGCTGGAATGGGCAAAGATGCCGCCCAGCCGCCCTTGCATGCACCCCAACAGGCACTGGAACATCGCCACGGGCATAAGCCCGAAAGCACGGGGCATACGGAGCTGGGCAAAGCTACTAACGATGGACCAGTCGCTAAGCAGGCCGGCAAAGACCGAGCGCAAGTCACCGTTAAATTCTGTGTTTTC